AAAATTTTGTCTGGCATATCATGAAACCAGTAGACAACGTGGCGACTGTAACATCTATAGAAAAATGTCCACATACTCTCCAGATTAAATGAAAAGTAAACAGCCTGAAAAAATTGCTAAATCTTATCAGATTTCTTTGTTTCCACTTAACAATGTGGAATTTTCCAGGTTGAGATTTATTGATCTTTCAACTTTTGGGGCAAATTATTTTATTTTACCAGACTCCAAAGGGACCTATTTTTTTAGAGTAAATACATGTTATTTTTCTTAATTCAGAATCCGAACTTTCCAAAAATCCTAGTTGTGATTCTCAGAATCCTCCCAAAATTTGCCACCTATTTATAATTGAAAGTGGTACTTGAAATTCAGGTGAAACAATTGTATGAAATATTTTTCACTTCTGCTTTAATTTGGGTTGTTATGATTTTATTACTTTTTAATCTCTTATTCTGGTGGTTTGTACCAAAAACAACGTTTCAAGTAATATTTTAACACAGACAATAACAATACAGTCTGTTAGCTTCTACTTTCTGCATTGTATTGCCAGCTGATATAGTTTGTGAACATTTTGTTTTTCATCTTTGTGACCTAGCTGTAGATTGCTAACTTTACCTTATTTCCCCAAAGAGAAGCAAGCTTTATAAAAGATTTGGGACAAGTTATTAGGATTCAAGTCTTTTCTAGTTGATGAATGAATTACTTTTTTTTCCCCTTTCATTTAATCATGTTGTCTCAGAGACTGCCTGGACAAAACACTGCAGTTTTCTTGGCAACATTTTTCAGGAGTGTTTGGCCATTGCCTCCTAAGGCTGAGAGAAAGTGGCTGGTCCAAGATTCCCCAGCTAACTGTATGGCAAAGGCAGTACAGTCCTAGAAATCAGGTCACCCAGTTTCTAGATCAGTGGTTCTCAACCTTTTTAATGCCGCGACCCCCAACCGGTCGTAAGTTGAGGACTAAACCGGTTGTAAGTCGAGGACTAAACCGGTCGTAAGTCGAGGACTACCCAACCGGTCGTAAGTTGAGGACTTTCCCTGCCCGGGAGCGCCGTGCATGCATGGTTCCGCCCCCTGCGCCAGCCGAGGTGTAGCTGGCAAGCAGCAGAGATGGAGCAGGCCGACCACCAGCTGGCCCAGCTCAAGGGAGGTAAGGCACCCGCCGGAAAAGGGGGAAAAATGGCGGGCAGCCTTGCTTGGCGACCCCCGTGAAATGGTCGATCGACCCCAAATGGGGTCGCGACCCATAGGTTGAGAACCGCTGTTCTAGATAGACTACTATCTTAAGCACTAAGACTACTATCTTAAGCACACAGAATGAAATTTCTCCAGCCTGACAGTTATTGCTCTGCTTTTCTAAATATTTGGTTTCCTGGTGGAGGCCATGTTTTTATATCACTATTAATTGTAAAGGTATGTTGTGATGCATTAGATAATTTTTAAATTACATTATTCATATTGGATCAAATATGGTATTCTGTGCTAGGACTATAAAAATCAAACATGATTTATAATTGATACTGAATTTATCATAAAACATAAAACTTAACAATCAAATACATATTTTATGTGTGTGTCTTTCATTAAAAAGGTGTAAATAATTTTCCAAAGTAGAAAAGCTAGGTGCAAATATAGTGTACCCAAAGGTTTAAAAAAAAATCATACTTTTTATAGAAACTGTGAAAATTCTTAGTACAGATTTCTATATAAACTGTAGAACAGGAATTCATTAAAATATAAACCATGTACTATATATAGATAATCCTCACTTAACAATGGTAAATTGAGATTATGTAATTTCTGTCATCAAACTATGTGGTCGTAAAACATGACGTCACATAATGTCATGGCTTAACAACAGAAATTCTGCACTTCCAGTTGTTGACGTTAAGTGACCATTGCAGTCATTAAGTGAGAACATAACGTGGTTGCTTTATGCAACCTGCTGCTTCCCCATTGATTTTGTTTGTTGGAAACCAGTAAAAAAGGCCACAAATGATGATCACATGACTGCAGGATATTGCAACATTTTAGTTGCAAACTAGGTATCCAGATCATGATCATGTAACTGTGGGGATGCTGTAGTTTACGTAAGTATGATGATAGCTTGTAATTACAACTTATTCAGCACTGTCGGAAATTTGAATGGTTGCAAAATAAATGGTGGTTAACTGAGAACCTACCTGTAGCTTCAGGTAAATATTTGTATGAAATACATAGTATTGTACAGTTCTTCATTCCTTGTGGAAAGCACGGAAGCCATTGTCATTCACAAGCAGTTTTACTCCCTTTCTAATATTGAGACGTTTTACCATTTTAGAATAGCACCTCACAACCATTATAAATACAGGCATACTTTGACACTCAGCTGCTTCAAAACTCGTCAGATTGGTATTCAGCACGTTTTGAAGCAGAAATCTTGTCCCGACACTTGACGCATAAGGAAGAACTTGCTGACATCGGCTGCCTCGTGACACGCTATTTCTTCTGGCCGAAACAGTGGGTCACATGGTAAGTCATGTGGTTTTCCTGGTACCCATCATTTTTAGTATTCGTCACATCTTCCGGAATGAATTACCGACGAGTATCAAGGTATCACTGGTATAATAGATGATATAGTTAAAGTCATTTGTACAAGATTTTAATTTTTAAAACATTTAAAGTTGTGATCATGTGAAAGGAAAGAGTCTGGTATGAGTCACATGGAGCCATCTATTACTACTATTACCACTGCTATTGCTACATCTCCTTGGAATGTTGTTATACAGGTTTCTCCCATATAGCTGGAATTAGTGGATTTCAAGTCATACTATTGTTTCCTGTTTATAATTTGTGTTCTTCCTAAACAAATGTACAAAGTGATTGTTTTAGTAATTAAAACTTTACTTACAAATAATTAAAAGCTTTAATGCTGTCAAGGGGCATATTACAAACTTCTGGTCCCAGAGTTAACACAATAACCACTTGAAGACATAGCATTTGTAAAATATAAACTTCTTTGTATAGCTATGAAAGTACTTAAGGAGGCTAAGGAAAATTATTTATTGGACTTGTAAAGTGGTTAGATGGCAAGATGGTGAACAAAGCAAAAGCTGAGATAGGGAGAACAATAAAAAATGGGGGAAATCTAAAATTGTGACATGGCTTATATAGTCGTACTTAGTAGAAATTGGTTGAAATATGGGGGATGAAAATGTGTAGATGTTAATACTGTTTCATGTATCAAAATTATCATATGGTGAGCTAGAGTGATTATACTTTCTCAGGTATGGAATGTAATGTGCTAATTTTCTTTTGAGTTAGTAATCAAGTAGTGTTTATTAACAGATATTCACAAAAAGAAAACTTCCTGATCATACGAGTTTTTGAATGTTAGAGTAACATGCCTTTTCCAAACTTAGCACACAGTTGCTTTGAAATAGAGTCTGCTTATGATTACTCAGCAGTGACTTATATTTGAGTTTAGAGATCATTTGCATTTCCAAGATTTAGCCATAACCTTAATACAGGATCTAATACTCCTGATATGGATCCTTTTTCAGAATAAAGTTTCTTTGTGTATCAGAATTAATTCCTTTTCATTTAATAAAGAGATATACCTGGTGATTGAGGAGCTGCAAGATTTTGGTATTTTCAACTGCGTGCATTTAGAAGCAAATAATATGCTGCATTATTATTAGGGCTATGTAACACTTAGTATTCAATTCCAAATGACGGCTTTGGAACATGCGAGAAAATGAACTTGTCTGCAACTCATTAAAACAACTTTTTTTTCTGTTTTTTACAAGTTTCATTTGGAATTCAAAGCACTGTATAGGCCTTCCATACAAATTTGCATAGGTTTGGGCAAAAGCTATGTATGTTTCCATTATAAAAATACACTGTAAATGTGACTGAAATAAGAGAAGCTTGACTTTTGAAGACATACTGTTTCTCATCATCTAGAAACTTTCTTTTGTATGTGCATTCGTATTTGGAGGAGGAAAAAATGTCTTATGCACATTTAAAGGCACGGGTTCTTTATCAATACTAAGGTATGAAAGAGTGATGTTTAAAAATGTTACCCCATCGGTTATGGTTTTTTGTAACAAAATGGATGCAGATGTCTCTGAGCCTTTTTTCATTCATAAAGCAATTACATCATGAAACAAGAGAAAATTATGCTGAAGTTATGTGTTGCTGCTGCTGCTGTCTTTCTGGGCTTCCCAATAGCTAAGAGGATCCTCTTGAACAATGCGACTGAAGCAGGATCTGGAGACTTGTTTTGTTTTACTGATTTAGTAACTTTCATTATCAAAGGTGCTTTTTTCACGAGGCAACTGGACTTTCTTGTTTTTCTCATCCAAGAAGCTTCTTCAGCTCTGACTGGATGGTGGGGAATGGCAGGATTTATACTCCTTGCAGACAGTTGGTCATTTGCATTCTTTTAGCGAGGCCTTGAAGCTCCTGGAAGCTTATCTGCGTTGTCAGGGGCACCTGCGTAGTGCAAATGGGTGTGTAGCCATTCTTGGAACTGTTGAGAGGACTGTGTTGTAGACTGGAGATAGATGATGTCATATCCCTCCCCCTCTGTTGAGAGAGGGCTGTTCAATTTTGACATAGATGGCTTCAGTTACCACATCTCTTCCCTGAAGTCTGATTTTATGCTTATTGGTAATATTTTAAAATGAGCTTACATTAAGATCAGTTTGCAGAGGAACGTGCAATATGAGCCAATAAATATTATTGGTCATAGATAGTTAGAAATTGGACGAAGATAATTCAGGCTCCCATCACTCTTTAATTTGAATGACATCTAGCAAATATAAATATAAATCAGTGCATCTTTTCAGTATTGAGGCTTTTCAAACCACCCATTTGTCATGAAAGTGTACCTATTTCTATTTTTAAAGGGCAAAGTAAAAAGGTGTATCTTGTTTAGATATATCTTGTTGAGGTTGAAATGTTTTCTGAAATTTCAGTCAGCCTTTTCTTCCCACCTGATTATCTGCTTTTTGTCATGTCAGAAGATGAAGTTTTTGCTGCTGCAACAAAAATATCTAGAATATCTGGAGGATGGTAAAGTTTTGGAGGCACTTCAAGTTCTGCGTGGTGAGTTGACACCGCTGAAGTACAACACTGAGCGCATTCACATCCTTAGTGGGTAAGTGTTTTAGACTGAAATTTTATGCATACTTGAATTTAGACCTGCATAGTTGAATGCACAGCATAGGGCAAGTTTGTGGAGATGCCTAGGAAGCGAACTTACCCTGTTATTTGGGAACAATTTGATTCTGTTGCACCCAAGAAAATAGGCAGGGCCTTTTGGGCTATAGTGCCTCCGGTGAATTAGATCCATGTCCCTCTTGGCTGGCCGAGGCTGCTTAGGAGGTCACAGTTTCCAAGTGATGGTGAATTTATCCTTGATGGAGGGAGTGTTTCCAGCTTCTTTTAAAGAGGCACTAATGTGCCCTCTTCTCAAGAAGCCACCGCTGGACTTTACCATTCTGGATAATTTTTGTCCAGACTTCCACCTTCCCTTTTTAGGGAAGATGGTTGAAAAGGTGATAGCCTTGCAAATCCAGAGGATCCTACATGAAACAGATTATCTGGATTCCTTTCAGTTGATTTCAGGCTGGGATATGGGACAGAAACGGCATTGGTCACACTTTTGGATGATTTCTGGCAGGAGTGGGATGGGGGTTGTGCACCCATCCTTGCTATTTTTGACATCTTTTGATACCATAAACCATGGTATCCTTGGTCCAATTTAGGGAATTGGAAGTGGGGGCCACAACTTTGTGCTAGTTCACCTCCTTCCTCCGAGACTAGTCCCAGGTGTATTGATGGGGTGCAAGAAGTCCAGCCCACAGCTTCTTTTTTGTGGGATTCTGCAGGATGCAATGCTCTCTCCATTTCCATGTACATGAAACCACTAGGATAGATCAACCATCATGACAAGATGAGGTATCATCAGTATGCTGATAGTACTCAATTATACATCTTCATCCTGGGTGAATTAAGTAATGCTGTGAATGTTCTTTTGCGGTGCTTGGAGACTATGAGGCCTGGATGGGGAAGAACAGGCTTCAGCTGAACCTTGAAGAGACAAAATGGCTATGGGTAGGGGGCTCCTCAATATTCAGGGGTTTATCATGTTTGGTCTTGGATGAGGTTGCACTCATTACCCAGTGAGTAATCTGGGGGTCCTCCTGGATTTATGATTTCTGCTTGAGGTGCAGGTGGCAGTTGTGGCTGGGGGTGGGGGTGGCTGGGATTTGCTCAGCTTCATGTGCACCAGTTGTGCCCCTTCCTAGACCAGGAGGCCTTTGTTTGGATCACTCACATTGATTGCATACTTGAACCCCTTTGAGTTCTATATTTTTAAAATACTTTAAACAGCTACTTAACCGATAAATGTATTTGAACATTGCAGATTGAACTTTTTCCTCCTATATTAAAGTATGCTTAGAATTCAGACTCCTGCGTTAAACAGCTCCTTAACTAAATCAGTCTCTTGAGCATTGGTTCATTTAAATTCAATATGTAGTTCCAGAATGCTTAATCCTTGTGTTTCTTTTCAATATACAGATATCTGATGTGTAGTCATCCAGAAGACTTACGCACTAAAGCAGAATGGGAAGGGAAAGGAACAACGTCTAGATCTAAACTTTTGGACAAGCTCCAAAGTAAGAAAGTTGTTTTCAAAAGGACACATATATCCCTGTTTAGATTTCCAGGATATTTCATTCTGAACAGACAAATTTTGATCTGAAAGTATAAATTCACGAGATGGTTTGTACCTGTGAAGGGGGAGGTGGCGTGATAGACTACAGTGAAGTGGCAGTTTCCCAGGAAGGAGGAAGCATATTCCAAGGGGGTGGGGAAACGAAACAAGAGGCAACGCAGTCTAGAGCTGGATCAGAGAAAGAGGAAGAGAGTGAGGATAGTTATTCCCTAAAATCTCCCAAAGTATATCTGTTAGATGAGAATTGTATAGATTTAGTTTAGCAAGATTCTGACTTGGTGTGTGCAAATGAAGAACTGAGCTTTGAATGGATTGTTCTAATCTACATCATTCTTGGGCTGGGCCTGACAATTAATTATTGTTAGGCAGTTTTCACTTCAGTACTCATAAAGACAGAGTAGAACTAACTAGGTGCTATGCTATCAAATTAGGGGCTATTTTTTTCCAGTAGAATGGAGAAATGCATACTTTTGCTTCTCTGAGATATTCCCACTTTTACAATCCCTAAATCTGTTTTGGAGAGTTGGGAGATTTTGGGGCAGATTGGGATGTATTAGAGCAGGGGTGTCAAACTCAATTTCATTGAGGGCCGCATCAGCATTGCGGTTGCCCTCAGGGGGCCAGATGGGTGTGGCCAGAGTGGGTGTGGCCTACTGGGTGGGCGTGGATGGAGTGGGTGTGGCCTACTGGGTGGGGTGTGGCCAGCTCTACATTGTTCGCGTCAAGGGGGCCTGTGGGGGCCTGGGCAGGAGTGGGATAGATCTGAGGGTCCCTGGCAGAAGGGGGTGGGACCAGGGCAAGTGCCAAGGCATGGTCCACTGGAGGAGCCTCACTGTTCCTCTCAGGCCATGAGGGGGGGGGCTTATGGAGCTAAGACTGAATACGTTTCAGCATAGATGGCCACCACAAAATTGTACATTGGCTCCCGGCTAGCCTGGGCCAGGGCCAAAGCAGAGGGGGCCGTTCCCTCACTGTTTCCAGGATGGCTTTGCGGGCCACATGAAACCACTTTGCGGGCCGCATCCAGCCCCCGGGCCTTATGTTTGACATGTCTGTATTAGAGACTAAAGGGTGCAGTGAAGAAGAAAATGCCATTATGTGAACAGAACCTTACAGAATGATAATATTTCATTTGTTATCTAGGAAGTCTTTGGTTTAAATAAGTTAGACACATATATGGAAAATGTACTTCACAAATTTGTTTTTTTTAAATGAATTGATTGCACTGAAATTGCCTTTTTATTTATTTAAGCTTACCTACCCCCATCAGTGATGCTCCCCCCAAGGCGTCTGCAGAATCTGCTACGTCAAGCCGTAGAGCTACAACGGGACCGGTGCCTCTATCACAATACTAAACTTGATAATAATCTAGAATCTGTATCACTACTCATAGACCATGTTTGCAATAGGTAAGAGATTTTTTTTATTTTAAGGGCAATGGTAATATCTTTTAATGCAACAAAATTACTTTTAATTTTAAACAATTAAAAGTAATTAACTTGTGATGGTTGATTTTATGTTTTATACAAATAAGTATTCATGGTGGCTAACAAGAATATAAAAAATTAGTTTTAGTGTTTTAATTTATATTCAACAATTTAAAAATTAAACATTGTATATTTTTATTTAAGTATGTAATAAGTGGAGGGAAAATATTTTACCTAGCCAGTTTACTTCTTGAAGAATATTTATTTATTTNGGGGGGCAGGTCATTCCAGAGGGCAGGAGCTGCCACAGAGAAGGCTCTCCCCCTGGGGGTCGCCAGCCGGCATTGGCTGGCCGACGGTACCCTAAGGAGGCCCTCTCTGTGGAAGCGGACTGGTCGAAGGGAGATATTTGGTAGGAGGCGGTATTGCATTTTTACAAATGTATTAAGGATCAGCTTGAAAACACAGTAATAATCAAGATGTAGAATTATATAGGCTTTATATCCTGATTTACTGACCATAAGATATTTGTTAACCACATTTATCTGAAGTAGTTAAGCATGTCTGAATTCTGCCTTGTGGAGAATAGTGGTCTCCTGTAATATTAAGTTAGAAGCAAGTTTCACTTAATGGAGCTTACTTCCATCAAACAATATGACAAAGACTGCAGAAAAAGATTTCAGTTTTTTAAAAAAGGAGAATGGTAACATGAATGACAGTTAACATTTATTATGCATTATGCTAAATCCTATTGAACTCAGGAAGATCCAGGCAGCCTTGCTGTATGCAGGATTGCAAGAATAAATTCCTCTATCAGACTTTAAAGTGGTAAGCTAGAAATAAAGCTTATTTCAGAAATTCTTAATTTTTAAAATATATTTAAGAATTCTTTCTATAAATCTGAAAAATTATAAAAATAAATCTTTGAAGCTAGTTTTTCAGTGAGGCTTGAGTCTGATCGATAGAGAGATGCAAAACATTTGAAAGACCACTCTGCAAAGTGTAGACATCAAAGCATCAGACCTTTTCTCTGGTCATATCTGCATGCACAATTGCTTTGTTTTGCAGTCTCAGCAATTGCATTGACAGACATGCACAGACAATCTGAGAAAGCCCCCAAAGTTGTTGCTTCAGCCTTTCTGGACCATGCAGCTGCCTCAGTGCTTCAAGGAAGGGTGTTTTACTCATGCCAACGTGGTTTGCAAATTGTTCTTTCAAATGCATTGGACAACCCTGCTGATCAAAATGAGGCCATACTTGTCTTCATATTTTCAAGGTGTTGATTCAGAGCTCATGTCAGGAGTCATGACTTGAGGTGAGGATAGGAAGGTTTATAATAATATACTCATATGCATTTTCACCAACTGATTTTGAAAGTTGGTTATATTTTAAAACTAATTTATTTTGCATCATGGGAGCTGTCTTTGAAACAACTAAAGTTTCATATCCCTTTGGATCCTGGTCATATTTGGCAGTCCCCATATCCATCTCTGCACAAAGAGATAGTATGACAAGTAGGAAAAAAATAAGATAGAGGAGATAGGAAAACTGTACATTTGATAAGAAACATTTATAATGTAAGAAGCATTTATAATGTGTTTTTCTTTTTTGTGTATGCTCTAGTAATCATTTTCCTGATGCTGATACGGATATTTATAATGGTGAGAGAATATTTGTGAACCTTTAGTACTATCTGCAATTCTGTAGTATTTGGCCTACAGTGTAATCAAAGCGTCATCTAAGTCCAACAGAGAGATGTTAATTAAACAAATATAGGATGCAGTAATATTATATCTTCATTGAACACATTGAATTGATATTCACTATTATGGGAAAAACATGTAAAATTCTAATATAATCAGCTCTCAAGTGGATCAGTGATATTGATTGATTAGATTTATAGGGCCATCCAACTAGAACAATGTGACTTTGAGCATCATACAACAAAACTTCTAATCAGTGAGATTATCAGATGTGATTTTGAACAGCTTCCTCATTAAACACACACATACACACATAGACATGAAATTGTGGCCTTACTTTAAGTGGGCAATTTATGCAAGATAGCCTAACAATGGGCAATATATTTATTTATTCTATAGTTCCTATAGCTGCCCCATCTCAATCAATGACTGTGGGTGGCTTACAATTCCAAAACTATAAAAACAAAACAATAAAAAGCATTTTAAAAACAATAAAAATGTACTTCCAAAATGATGTGCAAGATTGTTAAGCTGGTACAAGAAATATTGGGCTGAAGTCATTATTGCTAAAGGAAATGCCACCAGTTATTAAATCTGATGCATTGCATACTTTTTCAACAAAGATTATGAAGTTAGCTTAGTATGTTCAGTGGAGATATGATACCATATGCTTTCTTATGCATTGTTTGTTTAATTAAACTCTTTTTACTGATTAATAAGAAACTCAGTTCAGTTTGTAGGTTACAGTCTGCAAGATGATGGATTGTTCTAAAAGTTCACAAACTCTTGGTTTCCATTGTATATTAGTTTACATAAAACTGATTACTACGTAACTATTTGTTTGTTTTTTAGGAAACATTTTCCATGTTATACTCAGCAGATACTTACAGAGCACTGTAATGAAGTATGGTTCTGTAAATTCGCCAATGATGGCACTAAACTAGCAACAGGATCCAAGGATACAACTGTTATTATATGGCAGGTTGACCCTGTAAGTATCATTCTATAGGGCAAACTTTTTCCATAAAATTAAATGCTTTTTCCCCCCCTCAGTTTGATTTCCAGTTACTATGTCATTTTTAAATATCTTGGCATGGTCTGTTTGCATGCATTTTTGCCTTAAGCTTTTTATCTCTTGTTTAATTTATCTGCTTTTTTATGGAAAGTATAGTCCAACAAAAGATATGCAAATTAGCTGTAATTTGAATAACTGCAATATTCTGTCTCAATTTCTTGTATAAGAATAAGAACATGAGCATTCTTTGTGATTTGGTGACCAATTTCAGAAGCCAAAAAAACACAGATAGGAAAAAAATAGCTGTCTTCCAGTTTTCACTAGGTACTTTGCAGTAGCCTTCCACTTATTTAATAGTTGCAATAATAATATTCCCACTAAATTATTGAAATAAAGACTTGGCGTAGTCAAGAATATCCAAATATAATAAGTTCAATTCTATTGCAAATATTGCAATTCACAAAAAATACACCTCAAATTGTGGTTGAGTAAATTGCTTAGAATATACAGTAAATTAACATCTGTAGCAGTTTAAAATGTTCTGAAAAAAGTATTTTTAGGCTTACATTGAATTGATGAGTTGTTGAAAGTAAGGTAATCTCCTATTTGTCTTATTTTCCTCTAGTTCTTTTTTCAGTATTCCAAAACTTGTGTTACTCCTTTTAATTTTACGTGTGCATGTTCATTTAGTAGTTACAGTAAATATGTTCCATTAATAATTAATATATGAAGAAATTTAACATTTTAAAATTTAAAAAGCTTAAAGTTTAAATATACAGTGGTGCTTAAAAGTTTGTGAATGCTTTTGAATTTTCAACATTTCTGCATTAATATGAACCTAAATGTTAACCGTTTTCCACACAAGTCCTGAAACTAGGTAAAGAGAACCAATTAACCAAATGAGTCCAACATACTTTTTATTTATTAATGAAAATGATACAAAGCTACGTATTTGTGTATATACAAATGGGACCCAGAGTAAGCAAAAAATCATTTTTCTCATGTATATTTTATTAAAAAATGTTTCTAAAGCTATTACTTCTTCTGTTGTAATTATGCAGATTAGACAAATAAATAGAATTTTCCCTTTTTGTTATGCCAGACAGTGGTGGTTTTTGTTTGGTGCTCTATACCTTATTTTCTTTCATGTTTCTTTTTCCATCACAGTACTATTTTAATCTAGTTGAGAATATTTTGCTTTGCATGAATTAGCCACTGACATTTTTAAGAGAGTTATTGGTTACCTCATTTTTGGTTTTTCCCAGTGTAGCCTTTCCAGACTTCTGGACTTCTAGATAGGAAAAAATGAGTTTGTGTCAACTCTTTTTTTTTTTTTTAGATAAGTGAACATTAAAAACCAATTTTCTGAATTTTACTTCCTAATACGTTGCTTTGCTAAATGTTTTGTGGGATTATGAGAATAAATTACTCTTTTAGATAAGCTACTTAAGCTATATAAAAGGCTTACCAACCAATTAAATTACTCGAATGTTTATATTTCCTGTTTTTAAAGGATACACATCAACTAAAATTGCTCAAGACATTGGAAGGCCATGCATATGGTGTCTCTTATATCGCTTGGAGTCCTGATGACAACTACCTGGTTGCCTGTGGTCCAGATGACTGCTCTGAGCTTTGGCTCTGGAATGTACAAGTAAGAATGATAAATGTGTAGTGTTAGCATGCCATATTAAATAGCATAGATATATGGACCATACTCAGGTTATTTGATACTTTTAGAGGGAATCCTTGGCTATTATGGATGTTAAGATAGCCCCATATGGAGCAACATTCTGAATGTTTTTAGTGTTTTGTCTATAGGAAGCCATGGGGTAAGCCCTTTATTTTCTTGTTTTTCACATTAAGGCCATGAGAGTATAAGTAGTAGCTACTGTCTTCCATCCAACATGCTCTACTGTTTGGGAGGCGGTTGTTGGAAAACATTACTTTAGAATGTATTTTATTCATAGATGTGTGAGTTAATAGCAGTATGCTGGGCACACCTGATATTTATATTTCAGTTTAAGGTAAAAGACAGGTTGAGAATAAATGAAGATAAATTCAGACTGGGTGAGATATTAATGGTGGGAAGATTTGAAAGTGATATCACCTTTCTTCTAGACAAGAATTGTATTTTCTAGAACATCAATTACTGGCATTATGCTAGAACATAGCCAAAACAGCATTTTGAAGCATTTTTAAACTGGTCCTTTTGATTAAATATGAACTTAAAGTAAGAATGATCTGAGTTATGTACTGTAATAACTTTTAGTTGGTTGTTACAAGTTACTAAGATAACTTTAAAACACGTTCTTTGTAATACTATTTTTGTTTAGAACTTTAAAATTATTAAATTGGGAACTGCTCCTATAATTTTGGGAATGAACTGAAATAAGCCTACCATATTGGTGGTACATTATAATAGCACTATATTTGTTAATTAGCGTAATTGATTTGATAATTAAAGGCTTACATAGCCTACTTACTTTAATGTATATTTTTGCTTTATTGTCTCACCACACGAATTGATCTTTGTGTTCTAAGTTTATTCTGTCCATTGGAAACAGTGCTGTTTCGGCAATGGCCTTCTTGCTTGGGAACTCTCTGAAATTAATCCAACTTCACCTTCTAAAAATCTCTAGAAGCTGGCTTGTTTTTAAAGTGATCCCTGTTATTATTTTGCTGACATGTTTTTTTTATATGGTGTGTGTGTGTATCTCACAGGCTTACTTGCCCCCTCCCAAGTGTACTGAAATTAAAATTGCCTGAAGACATTAAGGAAGTTTGATTTATGCTAAGTACTCAGTAGCTACTTTATTATATATCTGAAAGCACTTTTGGATTTTTTCGCCAATTTTGTAAACAATAATTAGACAAATGGTATTTAAGTGTGTCAACTATACTGATGCCCATATATATTACAATTTCAAAGAACCTTAACTATATAACTTCATCTGCAGACGGGGGAGCTAAGGACAAAGATGAGTCAGTCCCATGAGGATAGCTTAACCAGTGTGGCCTGGAATCCAGATGGAAAACGTTTCGTGACAGGAGGGCAGCGTGGGCAATTTTACCAGTGTGTAAGTTGGAGTGGGCAACCTTGAAAGCCAGTGGCTACATTGTTATTCTTATTTACTTGTTTGCAAAGAACTACATGGGGTGTGTGCATGTTGAAGCCACTGGAGTGGGTGAAGATAGAATTTTCACTCTGTTTTGGGGGGCTTTCCATGGGTGCTGTGGATTGGGAGTTCACTGGAAAACAGATTTGTTAAACCTAGAAAAGGCTCAACACTTATTTTTTATAAACAAAAAGGATAGAAACATTTGGGGAATTCAGGCAATCCACCTACACAGATTGCCCATTCCTGCTATAAAGAAACTGGTTTTTTATTATGCCTAAATGCATCGGTACCTGATATAGGGACCCTCACTGCTGATGTTTTTGATGTGCCTAAAAATATTTTTTCCAATGAAAAGCTCCTTAGAATTGGCTTGTTACAAATGTTTGGTAAAAACCATGTTAATATTAATGGATCTTATTACCTGAAATATATATGAAATTGTCTATATTGCTGTTCTTACAAAAAAAAGGAATTCCATGATGTCAGTCAAATAATGTATTCAACATGATGTACCTGTTCATGTACTAGAGCTTATGTTGGCATATAATCAGTATGTATAATAAGGATTCTCGTCATTATAATTATTGTCATCATTAGCTAGTAAACATTCACATGATATAAACAAAATTGGTAGGTCCAACCCATGAAATGCAAAATAAACCGTCTATATCCTGCATTCCTTTCTACATTTTTTAAGCAAACCAAAAGTTGCATCCCTGAATATTCATCAAAAACAAAACAGAGTATGTTAAAATGACACTATTCCTGTGCGCGCCCCCCCCCCCACACACACATACACTGTGGTCTTGAGGTTGTGAACCATCGGGCCCTACTTAGAGAGGCAAGAAACAAAGTTGCACAGAACAAAGTCTGCTTTTTAAATTTTGAGTGACACCCATGGAATCTGTATTTACAATACAACCCCATCTGTTTCATGATGGAGGTAAAATATAATTTTCATGTTTTTGGTAGCTTTTTATAAGTGTTTTACTTTATCTATTTCCTGTCTAGGATTTAGATGGTAATCTCCTAGACTCCTGGGAAGGAGTAAGAGTGCAGTGCCTGTGGTGCTTGAGTGATGGGAAGACTGTGCTGGCATCGGACACACACCAGCGAATTCGGGGTTATAACTTTGAGGACCTTACAGACAGAAATATGTAACTATATTGTTTTTCTATTGCACTAGATAAATTAATCCTGTGGTTGGCTAAACATTTAAACTGAGCTAATGAAAATAATATTCCATATGACTTCTGGATCAGGTGTTAATTCTAAATTGGGCTTTTGAAAATAAAATCCTATATAAATAATAATATAAATGTCAGGAATAAATAAATAAATAATAAACCTTGAAATGTGAACTACTAGTGCAGTCATAATTGGGCTCATTGTGAGACTCCAATGATAATATTGAAACTATATTTACATTTTTGTGCAAATGATAATTTTGACTCATGATTCTAATACAATTGTTTATATTTTCAGAGTACAAGAAGACCATCCAATTATGTCTTTTACTATTTCAAAAAATGGCCGGCTAGCTTTGTTAAATGTCGCAACTCAGGTAAGGGGATATTGTTGTTGTTTTAAATATGCATGCTCTTTTGAGAAATATTTACAGTTTTTCACACACACAAAAAATCTTATGGCAAATATGCTCTGCAACCTGGCTTGTCAATAGAACTCTAACTATGGTTCTTTCTTGTCAGAGTGAGAAAGGTCAGAATTTCTTTACTTTGTTCTCATAGTGGCCAACACAATGAGGCCTATTGGCAGTGTTCCTTTCTGAAAAGCTGAATGAAAAAAACCCATTAAATTACTGTGGATAATTATGCATGAACCTACATTGATTCTTTTTCTTCTAATTCAGAGGAACTTGTTTGGAATCACTCAATGTCTGAGGACTGCCATACCAAAATTCAGTTTCAAATTGATACTTTTTTGCAGTGCAATTTAAAAAGATTAAAAAGGGTGGGAATGGGAGCGGATGAATAATTCCCATTTTCATCTTTAATTCTCTAAATTTGTTACTTTTGACTATTTGCCTTTGTATGATAAGACTGATTTATATTTGCTGTTACTATGTTGCTATATTTTTCTTTTTGATCGCTATTTGTATTTTATTTATTAGATTTTTATCCAGTTTCTATTATTTTTATACACAACTCAAGGCACTGAGCATACCTAATCCTCCTTCCTCATCCTATTTTCCCCATAACAAGTCTGTGAGGTGGGTTGGGCTAAGAGTGGGTTGGGTTAAGGCAAGACTAGAATTCAATCTCCTGGTTTCTAGGCTAGTGCCTTGCCTTAACCAATAGGCCACTGTTGTATTGCATTGCTATACTTTTGTAATATTTTTATCTATTGGGATTGGAACGTATGCTGTTTTGAAATGAAATGCCATATAGGTAGTCCTTGACTTATGAGCACAATTGAGCCCAACATTTCTGTTGCTACGTGAGACATTTGTTTTGCCCCATTTTATGACCTTTCTTGCCACAATTGTTAAGTCAGCGGTTCTCAACCTATGGGTCGCGACCCCATTTGGGGTCGATTGACCATTTCACGGGTTGCCAAGCAAGGCTGTCCGCCATTTTTTCCCCCTTTTCCGGCGGGTGCCTTACCTCCCTTGAGCTGGGCCAGCTGGTGGTTGGCCTGTTCCGTCTCTGCCGCTTGCCAGCTATGCCTCGGCCGGCATAGGGGGCGGAACCACGCATGCGCGGCGCTCCCAGGCAGGGAAAGTCCTCGACTTATGACCGGTTGGGTAGTCCTCGACTTACGACCGGTTTAGTCTTCGACTTACGACCGGTTTAGTCCTCGACTTACGACTAGTTGGGGGTCGCGGCATTAAAAAGGTTGAGAACCACTGTGTTAAGTGAATAACTGCAGTTGTTATGTTAGTACAGATAGTCCTTGAGTTACAAATATAATGGCACCTGCCCATTACAGTTCTAACATTAATTGAATCACATTAAATGAACTAGCCCCACCCCTCTTCTCCCCAATGCATTTGTTAAATATGGGAGGTCTGTAGGAGAGACACATACTGCCTCTGGCCACCAAAGGTCTCCCCTCACCTACTGAGATATCCCATGCTCCTCTTCCCACCCCTTGGGGTCCCCATCGCTGTTTGGGCCTTCTCTCCACCCCATTTAATATTTATTTGCTACATATATGTAGGGATGTGGGTCTATACATATGTTGTTCATAGTATGTTTAGGTGTGCGTCATGTATGTGTTTCAGTTTGAGAGTGGGCAACTAAATTTCATTTTTTATGTGTGCCGTTGTGCCCACAGTAAAAAAATGACAATAAAGGTTATCACCGATCGCTCACTTACGCTTGGAAGATCTCCAGTGTTCTAGATTAGCAGTCCTCAATCTTTCTGGCTTTGTGAACTGGCGGTGGCAGTGTGGGATGGTTCCATGCCTGCTGCTTGCACAAGTGGAGCTTTGCACGCTCGCCAGCTGCTTGCCCGGCCTGGTGCCAAACGGGCTGCGGCAGGGGGGGAGTTGGGGACTTCTGCTCTAGATGATGGTACAAAGCTGTTTTCGTTAGATCTCATGTTCTTACACATGCTTCCATCCTCTTTGGAAAAGTGTTCTTAAGCAAGTCATCACAGTTATTAAGTGAATCACATGGTTGTTAAGCAAATCTGACTTTCTTCCATTGACTTTGCTTGTTGGAAACTGGCTGGGAAGGCTGCAGATGGTGACCACATGACTCAGGGATGCTGTAACCATCTAAAGTATATGCCATTTCCCAAGCACCCAAAGTTTATGTGATGGGGGGGGCGCTGTGATGGTTGAAAGAATGATGAGTGGTCATAATTGTCACTTTTTTCAGTGCAATTGTAATTTTGCATAGCCACTAAGGGTCCTAGGTCAAGGACTACCTGTATACCTTCCAGTCCAAGAGGACTCTGAACAATTTACATTCTCTTTCTACAGATAGTGTTAAAATGTAAAACTAGTATCATAAAATGATGAGGACAATCCTAGGTGGATGTTCTAGCTTATATTAGGTCTCCTCTTAAGGCTCTCTTTAAAAAGTCAGACTTTAGCAGTTTTCCCAAAACAACAAGTTAACTATATCAAAAAGTCTTTTTATTTCTCCAGTTCAAGTAGTTAAATCTGTTTTGGTTTGGTTTTTTAAAAAAGAGTTGTATAAGGAAATGAAGCTTGCTTAAAGCAAAATGTTTGCAATTGATACATTTGAATAGATACAGTGGTTGGCAAATACAAGAGGGCTATGGGAAGTTTATATTCAAACATTATCAAGTAAAAGGCAATTCATGCAATATCTTTTCTCCTCTCTACAATTTAGGAAAAGACCCAGAGTAGTAGAACATGTATTTTTCTTAAGAAAGATCCCTTGTTCGGTCCCTGACATCTCTTGGAGCAACAAGGAAATCTTACTGAAAGCTGAAAAGGCTATTATCAATTGGTGTGATGTTTTGAAACAGTTAAAATGGCTTCCTATATTCTGCTTTACCTTCCCACATGCAAAAGCATCTACTAGAAGCTTTAAGATGTGACACATGGTATAGTGGGTGGGGAGAATTGGAGAAATTTTTATGGTACCTGGTCTATGTGGGAAACAGCATTTGCTCACATTTTACTGGTGATTGTTTTCATACTGCGGCCCCTATATCATTTATTTCTCTTTCCTGAAGATTTCCAGATAGGAGCTTTCAGGAAATGTAAATGGGTTCTTCTTTGGGGAGAAATAAGAAGAAAAGTCCTGCTGGATACAAGACATGTGCTCATGTGATTTTTGCCTGCGGAGAAAAATAGTCCTTTTTTAGTTTTATATTGATGTAATAATGAATCTTATTCAGATTAAATTATATTATTTCTATCATGCTTTTTGTCCTCAGGGAGTTCATTTATGGGATTTGCAAGACAGAGTTTTAGTGAGAAAGTACCAAGGTGTTACACAAGGGTTTTACACAATTCATTCATGTTTTGGAGGCCATAATGAAGACTTCATCGCTAGTGGCAGTGAAGGTAATATTTTTTTAAAAAACAAATTTTCCCTCTCCCTCTCTCTTTGTCTCTCTCTTTCTTCTTCTTCTTCTTCTTCTCTCCCTCTCTCTCCCTCTCCCTCCCCCCTCCTCCTCTCTCTCTCTCATATTCAGGCATGTACTTTCTGCATTAGTGAATATTATAGTCTTCTCACTCTCTTGAGTTTTAATAAACAGAGTGGGTGTGCCTTACATTTCCATAAATTGTGATAATTAAATACTCATTAAAAAAGGATTCTACTTCAGAGAACAGTGGGATCCACAAGTAGAATGTGTTATACCTTTTTTGATAGTAACATCTATAATTTTGATATGATTTGTACAGTACTGAGTACCGTTGCTCTGAGATATTAACTTTTATTTGCTATAGATGTGTTTTCTAAAGGTAGGTGTGGGTATGTAAATTCATATGTCATTTCAATTATTATCAATTATGGTAAGAGAATTATGGTCTCCTATATTGCAGCAGAATTTACTGTATTCAGTATCTTCCATTGTGAGCAATTTGAAACAAATATGGTTGTCTTTTAGCAGATTCTTTTGTCAATTATGTGAGAAGCCAGTTTATCAAATGTCCCAAAGGTGCTTTTTTAAGAAGCAACTGGACTTTTTGTTTTTCTTTGAAGACATTTCGCTTTTCATCCAAGAAGCTTCTTCAGCTCTGAAGAAGCTTCTTGGATGAGAAGCAAAACATCTTCAAACAAAACAAGAAAATCCAGTTGCCTCTTGAAAAAACACCTTTGGGACAACCATGACCTGGATGACTGAGAATCTCCATAGACATTTAGCTATGCAGTTTATCATATGTTCTTGGCATTAAGGGTGCTGATTCACTCAGCTCTGTGTTGCTAGTAGAACTGTAGCTAATACAGAGTGGGCAACAATGCTCCTGTACCCCCAAAACTTCAGGAAGATGTGATTTTGGTCTGAACAGGAGTGCAGTCATAGGTTGAGTCAAGAAAAATAGTATCTTAAAGCATTATTTGTCTTTAACTGGTGAAATGCTCAATTGAGAACAGCACCTTTATTGGACCTGATATTAATAATTTGCCATTGTAAATATTTGTCAGTCCTTATATGCATGCATTTTTAACTCCCTTCCCCTTCCAAACAATCTCTGGCCCAGAAATATCTGTAGCTCTGTTGACTTTTGGTGTATTGAATAATTCATACACCACTTAGGACAGCATGGACAAGTCACTTAGCTACAGCCTACTGTTTGTTTGACATGAATATGCCGATTAACTTATCCAGGTCAACTTAGAACAGCTTTTTATTTTTTTCATTTTCAGTGTCTAAAAACTACCCAGCTGTAGTTGAAGCTGATGGCACCTTATTTAGATTCGGACTGCCTGAGGCTGTTGCCTCTTTGCACTGAATTGTTGCAAATATAGCTGCTGTGAAAGTCTCTATGTACAAAAAAAGTAACAGATTTAAATGTCATAACCTCTTAAATGTAAAGGTATGTTTTCAGCTAGGTAGGCATTTCACCTACCAGCCCCAAACATCAAATGGTCTACCCTGGGAGTAAAGTTCACATCTAATTCTGTAAATAAGCATTAAGGTACCATAAAAAACTCGCATGGGAGTAAGTGCTAAGTGTTGTTGCCTTAAGATGAATAACGATCCTTGAAGTTACGCAGATAATGTGTAATCAGATTAAATTTTTAATCAGATTAAAATTGGCAGAATAAACAGAAATATAAACAAGGGTGTTTGATGTAATTTAGATGTCATGGCACTTATTTTTAAAAATCTTATATGAGTAGAAGGATTTGTAATACTTGGGAAGAGACTAAAATACTTTGGATCCTTTATCATTGTCTGGATTTATTGTTAAAGCAAATGATATTAACACCTTTGCACATCTTAAAGTTTTTCTTATGGTGCTTCTATTTAATCAGATATTTAAATAAAGCCACAAACTTATTCTAGTACTTAGCAAAAAATATAGTTACTGGCAATTACTTTGATATGTGGTTTTTTTACAGTGCAGACGGTTGCACATGTAAGATTTCACCAATCCTTGCTATGATCATTTGACTTGTGTATCAGGATTAGCAGTGGCATAGAAGTTTCCATTTATATGTTCAGCTTTGTAAACATATATGAGTGTAATAGAATGCACCAACAAGTTACAGCTGTAAATTGCAATTTGGCTGTGTTGTGAACTTCATTCAAACGGTGAAATGGATCGCTTATTGGCTAAAATTTGTTTTTATTGGGCATTATACTTAAAGCCAAACAAGAGCTATCTGCATGTGGACTGGCATTGCCTGGTTTCTCCACTATCTTTTTGATGCAACAGTAAGTGCCTGAATAAGATACCTCACAGATAATTTAGTGTAGGATGGCTCACTAAAGTCATAGATAAAGTATCATGTTTAAAAACATTTTATTTTCCAATCATAAATGGAGTCCTTTATGCAAAAGGCAGAGGGTTTTCTGTGGAAATCTCCATACCTATCACTAAAATAGTCAAATTAAAAAATTCAAGAATTAGAATCCAAAGCTTTTCAATTTTGTATTTCAATTTCAGTCTTATATGTAAATGTACTATGAGTCAAAATTAGCATTTAAACTGACTCCTAATTAGTTAATATAAATCCTGCCTTTATATTTAATTCTCTACAAATATCTTCATTTTGGAAAGAAAATCAGTACATGCTATTAGTTTAAATATGGAATTTTAAAGGCCTTCTTGAAACTGTTGGATGTAGGATTCAGCAGTTTTTGGTTTTGGGATATGCATGGAAATTTTTAAATGGAAACATGGATCATCAAGTTGATTACAGAGCATATTTTAAATTTTAGGATGGATCTCATGTTTTTTTAAACCTATCTGTCTTAGATCATAAAGTATATATTTGGCACAAACGTAGTGAGCTGCCAATTGCGGAACTGACGGGGCACACACGTACAGTCAACTGCGTGAGCTGGAACCCACAAATTCCATCCATGATGGCCAGCGCCTCTGATGATGGCACTGTTAGAATATGGGGACCATCACCTTTTGTAGACAGCCAGGATATTGAAGGTAAAAAAAAAATAAACTAATTTTATGAGAAAGATTTTAAGATTCAATTATCTTATGTTAATATTTTCTTATTGCATTTAAATACAGTGATTTGCAAAGTTTATGGTGTATGCATAGTTTAATCATACAGTGAAAAGTTTGAATAGCCTTAGGTATCTTCTAGTCCAGTGATGGCGAACCTTTTAAAGAGTGAGTGCCCAAAAACCACCCCGCACACTTGCCCACCCCCCTACTCCGCCTTCCGCCCCGTCCACTCGCAGGGCCACCCACCGCCTCCATGGCCCACCGCAGATTGCCCAGGTGACCCTGCAGCACTATGGTGGCCATGCCCTCCACCCACGCCATGCAGCATCATCTGCGCACGATGGGGCACGAGGGTAGAGTCTTGCCCCGGCTGCCATGTCCTTGGATGCGCTGCTCTGCGTGGACCGTGTCTGGGGGCAATTCTCCAGGGGGGCTGCTGGTGAGGGGGCCGTGAGGAGAGGCGGGGCTGGGGTGACAGCGCATGTGTCCGCAGAGAGGGCATTGAGTGCCGCCTCTGGCACGCATGTCATAGGTTCGGCACCACTGTTCTAGTCCAACCTTCCGCCCAATATAGAAATTGATCTTATAATACCCGCCCCCCTCCAAATGGCCATCCAGCCTTGGTTCATATGTCTCCAGCAAAGCATTTTGCTAGTATCATAAAATGTAAGGTCTGGAAGGGACAGGGTAAGGAGGAATAAAATAGTGGGTTATGTCCATCACCCCAAAAAAAGAAGAATCATATGATTTAGATTTCTTCAGTCCTTTCAAAGATTGTACCTAAGTAATTTAGATCTCGTCCATACCTAAAAAAATTAAAGAACACTACTAAGCAGAGGGCTAGTATTATGTGATTCTAATGGATATGGAAGTAAGGCACAGTCTCTATTACATTTTTCTCAGCCTTCTCATGCCTTTGAGGAGACGTTTCTTGGCTGAATGGTTGGGACCTACATTCAATATTCAGGGCTTTAATACTTAACCTTTTTTCCCTTGCCTGTTCTTGGAGGAATGGCTGTAACCACTGCAAGAGCCAGATGGATTTAGATGTACATGTACAGCAACATTTGACTAAGTTATTCCATATCTCAATTCATATTACTACAGCAGTGACTATATTCAATACCTTTTTCAGTGATACACCTTATGTAGTGACAGGCAAGGCTACAATCTCATATATTTATGTATTTACTAAACGTTGCAGACTGAATGCATTTGTCAAAGCAGAAAGTTTTTAAAAAATGCTAAAGCACATTTCTCTTCTTTTGCAGAATTCATTACTTTTTATTTTTCTCTGTAAAATAGGTTAGCTTTCATATATCATTGCTGGATGACCTCAGACATCAAGGAAATGTTGGACATGGAATATGATTGATTGATGTGGGTTGCCGTGATAGACAAACCACACAAAGATTTTAGATTACTCATTTGATCCAAAGCTAGTTGTGGTTAATATTGAACCACAATTTGTGCTATTCTTAATTGATAAAGACCTTTTTAAATAAGTTTCCCAGGATATGCTCTGTGAAAGTAGAAAGAAATCTTGCTACTTTTACTGTATGATCCTATTCAACACTGGGGGATAGCAGTCACTGGATCTACCTGTCACATCAGACTAGATGGAAATGTCACAGCTTAAATGCTGTTTATTTATTAAACTTCTGCACCACCCATTTTACCCAAGTGGCTCTGGGCAGGTTACAGCAACATAAAAGATTTCCAAGTCAGATTACAGCTGTGGAGGTTTGAATCTCATCTCCCTGGTGTTAATATAAACTACTGAGGTTAGGCTAGATTTTGCAATTACTATATTATGAATGTAGCGAGGGCTTATGAAGCTGCATTAGAAATAGGAGTCAGTGAAATCTAGTAGCTTATGCAATCATGTAAGATCACATTTTAAAGAATTGCAAGCTCCTTTTAAAAATTGCAAAAAATCAGGAAAAGAAGTATACTTTGCATAGTTGATAGACTGGTTATGCTCTGTTGTTGATGGATTGAAGTACTGGTTTATATGTGGTGTAGAATAGTAGATGCTGGCTGTTTGGATAGAACAGTGTTCAGTTCTCAAACTGGATGAACATTTTGTTAAGAGTTAGGATTGCAGCTGTTTGAGTTGGAATTTAAATGGACTCTCAGTTCTTCTCCGGAGGCCAATCTCTTAGGTTTCAACCACAAAGATGTGCTGGATTGTTCCACTGGCACTGCTACTGCCTCCTTCCTTATCCTTGATTGAGCTGAGTTAAAACGTAGCCTTGACAGTATCATCTAGAAAAGTTTGGCAGAGAGGCTGAGCCCATCTTTGTAATGAGTAAATTAAACTTCCTCTTTTTTTCTGTTTTGCCATTTGTATTCTCATAAATTTTATATTATTTTCAACATTATCATAATCCACATCATTTCCAAACAGACAATGAAGTATATACATTTTTGTATCTATGTAAAAACTTCTGCCCAACCCATCTCACCCATCTGTGTTTTGGTACTGCTTTCAGGTTATTAGTCATGGTAGACAGCCATCCTATCCCGAATTGTTGTCAAGTGAGCAACCTTCAAAACTGATTTAATAAACAAAATTTTCTCCTGATTCTGCTGCACTTGTAACCCTTCTCACTTTTGTCATTTGAATAACTTGAGCTCCACCAGGTGGGATTACAGTCGTGCCTGTGCCTTTTCTAATATTTCTAGTTCAAATATATTTGGGAAAGAAAATTATATAAAACGGCTTTAGCATAAAAACTTTCTGAAAACTAAATAGAATCAAACCAATTTGTTGTTAAAGGAAAACTCAATCCCCTCCCTGAAAACCAGTTTGAAAATGGGCTTAGACAGAGGTCTACAGCTCAGTAAATCAGTCAGAGCTCTGTCCCAAGATCTCCTCCTCAGTAATGTGATCCAGAATGGCATATATGCAGTCTGCCCCAAGGTTTCTGGTACACACAAACAGAGAAGCATGTGGGTCACAACTGATTGTGGATTGGAAATACTTCCAGAGTCAATTGCAGAAGCCATGTTTGGTATACAATCTTTGCTGGAATGTGGATTCTGTCTTATCACCTGCCTATAATTGCTATAAAGGAGAAAATTCTCAAGGACTGGTTTCAGCTGATTTGGCAATATACATTGATATGGAAACTATATATTGCCCAATTTTTTTGTCTCTGCGTATACTTTTTCTGTCAATTGCTCTTTCATTCCATTTCATTTCATTTCTTGCACAGCATTGCACAAGAACCTTGTAAAAGCTCTTGCTGGGTAGCCAGAATGAGTGCCATCCTTATTGTTGCTGTTCAGTTAGTTTACAGTAAATTAACTTAATTTACAGTGAATGATGTTTTGTGTGATTAAAATGTGCATATATCATGACTGAGATACACAGGATAATATGGACGTTCTTAATATTTTTTTTGTTTACATTTTATCTCTTCCCCTTAGAGGAATGCAGTAGCATGGATAGTTGATGGTGAATTTGGAGCAGACGACTTCTGTTTAACTTAAATTTAGTCGTATTTTAAATGGCTTGGGATTTGGTGCAAACAAACATGATTGATAGCTGGACAGACATGCTCATCATGAAAATGAACCATTTTTTAAGCCCGACTGGGGCCAAACATTTTACCACCTTGCTTCATAGTAAACAGTTGAGATGAAGCACGTCGTTAGAACGTTGTTGGACACCATGTTGAAGTAACCCCCCATCGGTTGTGAAGAACTGTGCTACATTCAGGCTAACCATTGAACTCCGTATATACATTTTCCCCTTCTGCCATTTTGTCAGGCAGACTACTGTTCTTGTTGCTCTTCTGTGTAATGAAGTTTAAAATGCTTGTTTGGAAAACCTTTTATTTAACAGTTTAGAAAGCTTGATAGAAAGAGTGCTTTAGTCTGAAGAGTACATGTTGGATAGGAAAGTATTTCCTTCTCTTGTTTCTCTGAGTCTGCCTTATTTAGCTCGAGATCTTTGCAGCTTGGTTCATGGATTCTAGCCTTGCCCGTTGCGCAGTATATCCAAATCCAGATGTAAAACCAGTGAATGACATGAAAAGCACTCTCAGTATCACACTTGACAAAAGGTTTTGTACTTTTCACGTAGCTCGTAACCCTATAAATGGGTGAACAGCACAAATTTTTTTAAGAATAAATTATTTATAGCATTAAAATGACTTTGATTTGTATACGTTTGGAAAATAAACCAGCTTAAAAAGTGTCATCTACACGTTAACGCAGTATAATTGGTGCTCCTCTTGAGTGTTGTGTAAGACCATTTGGCTAGAAGGAGTTTTACACAGATTATATAAAGTATTATTTAAAAAAAAGCCTTTGTTTACCAACAAAATAATTTGAAAGGTTTCAGAATCACCAATAAAACTATTACAATGTAATTTCTGAAGTTAATAAAATGAAAATTCCAGATTGGCTAAAAGTTGTGCAATGATTCTTATTTGAAACATTAAAAACTAAAATGGGGATGGAGTAATATTTTAGGATCATTTCCCAAAATTAGTGGATTGACTTTGTGAATTTAAATATGTACATTATACAAATGTTCCACATAATGTTCACCCCGTAATTGTTTTCTCAGGGGATGCTTGTTAATAGTTTGATGTTAGGAATGGGTTGTTGTCTTTAGTTTTTTTATGCAACCCGTCCCCGCCCCCCCGCCCTCCCAAATGGCCTGGTGTTTGCCCTGAGTAACTGTTCTAAATTAAAAGATGGAAAGACACACCTCTGTGTAACAATGAAATAACAACAAATCTTATGGGAAAAAAACCAAGCCCAATCAAGCTAAAATAAATGGAAAGCTCTTTAATTTTGGGAGGAAAGTCCCATATTTGGAAGAAAACGTACATTGCTTGAGCTTAAGCATGATCTTTCATACTCAGATTCTGTGATAAGCAATCACAGTCAGTGCACTTCAGTGTATTTCATAACTCAGATTTAACATGTGCTTCATAGCATTTGATTTAATCAGTTATGTCTCACAAAATTTCTTTAAATACTGTCAAATTAGGAAAGCTGGTACTCCAATTACTTAATGTAATAACTTATTTTTTATAATTCAAATGACAAAAACTGTCTTAGAAGACCAGGCTTACAGAAGTCTTTTAAAGTAATATTGCTTTCCTCTTATGTTCTCTAATAGATTGAACTCATTTTATTTCAGCTCATTTTATGCCGTAGTGTTTCTTTCTGTTTGCTGTAGTCAATTCATATATATATTCTGTTCATTTGACATTAAGTTCTTTTATTTGAAATTGCTTAATAGTTATTTTTGAGCTTCTGTAATTCTTATTTATTACAGATACTTGCAGATACTCCCATTCAACATCTTGAAATGCTTTACATCTCTATAACCAACATGGTACTGGCACTAAAATTGCATATTAACTCAAAACTATTTTAGGAGATTAGAGCAAAAAGTAAGAGTGGCTGAACCTGAAACGGCTTGCATAATTTAATTTCTTCAGGTTATTCAAAGCAATCTGGTGCTTGCAAATAAAATTTCATGCATAGACTTTAATGAACATGTTTGAACCTATAATTTACCCTTCTTTGAAATATAACACTAAAGGGAAACTAAGTTAAAAGCACTGAGTTTTCTTCTAAGGAATTAAAAAAAATACTTGTGAAAGCATTTCAGAAGCTATGCAGTTCTTAAGTAGCTGCTCCAGATGTAGAATTAACATTTGTTGCCAGGCTGAACTTCCTATGACTACATTGTGAGACAAATTGTCCCACAGTGTTAACACTGCTAGGACTTTTTGTAAGTGGACAAAACAGTGTTTTCTGGAATGTAGATTGGAAAGCATCTGTGTCACTTTTCATATAAACTAAAAACTAAATTCACCATTATAAAAAGATATGGAAGAGGCGTATCTGCAATATTCTCATTTTCATACAGTAGATATTTCCCAATCTCAGCTGTAAATTCTAGAGCAATCATTAATTGTTCATACAACAGAGATGATCAATGAAAACATGTTAGCATTTTGACCATCAATTCCAAACTAGGCATGCCAACCATAAATTATCTTGCCACAATGCTTCTCATCTTTATCAGGTAAGTCACTTTAAAAATAGCACAAAAGAGGAAAAGGAATTTAATTTTTATGTAACCCATAAATAGCCTTGTAAATGTGTAGCTAGCTTTTCTCAGTTTTGAAATGAGGGGAACACAAGAAAAAGTTAATATGGAGTCACAGGTAGAAAACTACCCAATTTTTTCCCAATAATTTCATTCTGACTTCCAAACTGGTATTGTTGAATGACATTTAAATAATGCTAGGTGTTTAGTGCCATGTTAACTACAAAAATCTCCCACCCTTTTAAAATGGCTTAAAATTATTTCTCGTACTAATTTTATGCTGGCAATATATTAGGGAAAGGAGAATTAGTAACCTTTTTAACAGCAGAAGAATGTCTTAATTTGTAATTTGGGCAGAAGGGGAAAATAAACCAATTTTCAGTAAGATTTGGTTCCCTTTATCTGTACCCCAAAGCACACAAGTTGCCTCGGATTGATGCATTTCAGATAAATTACTAACCATGTATCGTTAATACTCCATATATGTAGATATATTTATATCTATATCTATATATATATATCTTGCATTGGCTTGCATCCATTTTCAGCTGCCATACAAAAAACCACTCTTATGACAGATAATTATAATTTTGGAAACATTCTGGAATAGGGAGGACTTAATTGATGTATGCAGTGTTGTCTGCAATAGCTGCTCTTGTTGCTGGAACACAAACTAGAAACCTGTTTGCTACTTGCTGACTTCATATAGTTGGATTCAGCAAAGTGTGTATGGTATGAATGTGTGTGTAAAACAGAATCAGTCATGGAACCAACTAGGTACATGTCATGTTTTACTGAATAATTTTAAGTCATGTTGTGTGTATTTGTCTTGTCCTCTAACATTAAGATTTGGTTAATACAAATATATTTTTATAAATTTGAAGTACAGTGTGCCCCATTTTTTAAGTGTTTCATTGTTAAAAATAAGTGTACTAGATTTGATTCTTAACACTTACTGGCACAGATGGAAAAAGCTATTGGCTCCAAAAATGTAAGAGGAAGAAACATTCTCAAACGTATGTGTGTATTTACAAACCAAGCTGTAGAGATCAAGAAAAGAACTTTTACTGTTCTCAAATTTCTAAATTGTCAAGATTTATATGGAGTTGTGGTGGAACTAGTTAACACTTAGAGCTTTTGGTATGTAATGACTATTTGCTATGGACTGATATTAAATGTTTCAAAGGATTGCGTTATTAAATTTTCTGGATTTTGTTACTTTCCTCTTGAATTATATTAAGTAGTTTAAATTTCTTTTCTGACATTAAAACATGAATTTTGGGGCTCCGTATTTATTTTCACTAGTTTTACTAATTATTTATGGGGCACATTAATTTTTTATTTTATAAATATGTAGTATATTAAACATATCTTAAATCGTTCAATTCAAGCTACGTTAATTCCTGATTGTCTATTGGAGTTTTTTTAATTAAACTTTTCCATGTTGGTGCACAGCACTTAACAAATATTTGTATTCCCTCTTTCCAGTTCAATAAACAAAATAAATAACTGGATTTGATTAGTAGTTCTTAGCTTCATAAGCTTTGACTTCTATTTCATACTAGAAAGGAACAAAAGTTCCTTTCTTTTCTAAGATATATACATACACATATGATCATACAACTGCTCAACCCATGAATATCCAGGAAGAATTCTTGTGAGAACGGATCCCATACTGCTCAGACTGAACATGAGTTACTCACTTGGAGCACAAAGCCATCCCCATAAATCTTAAGACAGCTGCTATCTATCTTTTGTAGCCTAACAGGCAAGCAAAATCAGGCTGTTTATTGAACCAGTGGCTATAGGCTGTAGTTTGAGATTGCAAACTCTATTGAATTGATTAGTACCAAGTGTCCCAACAGCAAATGGGATTGCAGATATAACGCACAGCTTCAATTTGGATGTGGGCTACTACCATTATAATACATGCAAACTATGAATATATATACTGTCTGCAAAATATATTCATATATTAAAAAAGGGTGTTTGAAAAATCATTTCACAAAGTATTATAGCAGCTATGTGTGACCTGAATGTTAGAAGTGAACTTCAACAGTCTAAATAGAAGCACACTGGTTGTGCACGTGGAGGGTAACACTGAACTGACAAATGTTTGGCCATTGAACATACTTCAGCCTTCAGTTTAAACACATAAATGAACTATATTTAAAATGTTGCCTATAGGAAAGAAAACATTGGTCATTCATCTCTGGTAAGCTTCCTTTTATATGATAAAACCTTCTTCAATGAAACTGTTATACCTGTTGCTTCACTCTAATACGTGAATCTGCTGCATTGGGTAACCAGTATTCTTGCAAAATCTTTACATTACATAAGAATTAAATACAGTAAGAAAATGGATTTGAGTAAGAACAAAACAATAGTTGCAAAAACATAGTATTGTAGTTTCTAAAATATTTTATATGTTAAAAATACAGCAAAAATATGTTTTGTTCAAAGAGGAAAAAATATACTGCATGACATCACTGGTCTTGATTTTCTTGAGAGTTGCTCATGGCTTCATAGTATTTCAATGGAGTAACATCAATTTGGCAACCATAATACTGCCACTTCAGTTTCAGTCATTTATTAAAGCCAGGATCATACTATAAAAAGTGAAAAGACAGACCGTGTCAAAAGGTGTAAAGCTTGAAATAAACTGATTGCTCTTTGAAATTTATGTCAGCAAAACTATCACTGCTTCTAAAGGGACAGAAAAGAGTATTTTTAATAAAATTCAAAATCTATGAAACTACAGTTCCTATTGAAGTAAAGTGGCATATAATCAATTAGATTTCGTAGTTTAAAAAAGTATCCCCATCAGATGCAGAAAATGTAGCCTAAACAGAAAGTTAACAGTTTGGGATATTTTATACTACACTGCAATGATAAAAAATAACATTGCTTCCACTAAGGCTCTTCCAAAGAGTTAAACCACATTAAAATTATAACAAACTATTCTAATAGGAATCTTAAGAATAGCTTTACTAATCTCAAAATGCAAGCTTTGAAACCTACCTGTAAAGATACATGAAGAAACAAAGGAGATGAAAACCAAGCTTTATCATAGCCTCCTTCATGTGTGATTTTAGCTGCCCTCTGTTATGGATTTCTGTAGGGTCAAATACTCCCATGTTTCCACTGGGAACCATAATACACCTGAAATGGTTTCAGGAAAATTGTTTCATTACCAATTGTGTGCCAGCCCAATAGATTAATGATCTCCGTATCAAAAAAGACAAAACATGCAAAATAAAGTGAACTGAATTGGTGGCTGAGTTCTTTCCAACAATACATCATAATGTTAAAAGTGTTGCATAAGGGTTTCAGAAGAATGAAACAAAAATAGATCATTTGAGCTTCATTTGAAAAGTTTTAAATTCCAGTAGCAGCAATGCTAGGAGAAATCGCTTCTTTTCTGCATTTTTCAGCAATTTCTGCAGGGCTCCATCTAGCATTACTCAAATACACCCTGCTTTTGCAACTTCCTTTGTACTCAACATGTATCCCAAAACTGTTCAATACGTGTCTGCCAAGCCTTTGAAGCCGTAAATAGCAGGACAGACAAATGCCTTTGTGCAGTGGAGGTGCATTACTGGCATTAATCAAAAGATCTTTCAAATCTGATGCCAGCCTCTGTTTTCTCCAATATATATGAATGTCTGAATTTGCCATGTTAAAATTAACATGCAGTTTTCAATCAATCTTAAAATAATCTTTTAAAGCTTGGGCACTGTTTAGAAATGGTGAGCTCATTAGCATAAAATTTGTTAAAATATTTGACTTATTAAACAAATTATACATTTAAATGACTGACTTTCTGTTCAATATATTGCATTAGAAATAAATATATGCATAAAAAACTTGAGATACTTAAAACAATATCCTATGCTTTTTTATTTGCTTACTAAATGTAAAATGACTCAGCCCAGTCAATTCAAAGTAGAAATATTACATTTTTTTTCTTCCAGGACACCCACATCAAAGAAATTAATAATACCTTGATTTGCTTCAAAAGTGCTATACTCAAGCATTATTATGAGGCTACATACATGAGACCTTAATGCATCTTATATAAATCCTAAATTTGAAGTATTGCCAAAATTGAAAAATAAAAATAAGTATATTTATTAGAGGCAAATTTAAGCCTGGGCTGTAATTTGCAAACAAACTCTTAAAAGGAATTCAATTTTCTTCTTTTTTCCTTTAGGTGAAAGCAAAGTTGATAAAATTCCAAAAGTACTTGTTCATGCCATCTGAACATTCAAGATATATATATGTACTTCGTTAGATTTACATATATCCTGCCTTCCCAGGATTGTTTTTACCATCCAAAACCACTCTATGAACGAGGTTGAGATGAGAGACTGGTTCACGATCTTCCAGTAACTTTTACAGCTAAGCAGAGCTGAATCTAAATATTTCCAGTACTGGTTCAATGCTTAACTTCTAATTACTACATTACTAGGTATTTTTTGCACCAGCAAATAATGATGCTTGCTCCTGGCAAAGTACAAACGTGGCTTTATACTATTTACTTCTCAGGATGGGGTGAAAAATGAGTTTTGAGTAAGATTAATGATGATTAGATTTTCACATGATCATGCTCAAAGTCAGTTTTTAAACTTAACACTTTTAACAACAATGTAGTGAGAATATGCCCATATACTTGTGAAAAGGAAAGTCTAGTATATCTATTGTTGGTGTTATTCAAAATTTGTGCTGAAATCCAATGAGAAAGGAAAAGTAATAATTACGTTTCTCTCACTTCCTGCTGACATGGCTGGACTAGTAAGTGATTGAAGAAGGCAGAGTTTATAAAAATATTCATTAAAAGAAAAACAATATGAGCAACATCATGTAATTCTTAAGTCACCAAAATAATGGTCTTACCTGTATATGTTCCACGTTGCCACAGGAAAATTGAGAAGGAAGATGAACCAGTGCAGTGAAATAAGCATTAATACAGTGACAATGGTATGGCCGATCAATTCAGGGATCACCCACTAGAAAGATTTTTAAAACAATTTAAAAGGTAAAAACCGTTATAAAGATTCTGCAGGAAGCTTCTACCAGCAAGTTGACAAGGGCTGCAAAACTGTTATTTCATTAAAAAGAATCAGTAATTGATCTCTACCAGATGTTTCAGATATAAATTGTAAATGTAATTACAAAGCAGCAATTTACAAAATAAGGATTTCTTTCTAGGATACCATCAGAAATTTTGAAATACTTTACGAGAACCTGATCAGCATTTCTAATATCAATAAGGAATACGAGCAAGCAACAGTTTCGAGTTAAATCCTATATATTCAACAGTTCTGGATAAACCAAAATGCTAGTACCAGGTTTATGTATTTCAACCTAATTTTCAAATTAGCTTTATTTTTCATGATTGAGAATTTGCTACCCATCAATCTGAAATCTTGCGTCAAGATGGTACTATAAAAAGGGTGAGTATAGACATTTGGCATAGGCTAGCAATGGATTCTAATCCGCACAAGGTTAAATAAAATAATTTATAAAGATTTCTTATTCCAGACAATTCAAATGTGACTGACGATAAACTAGTAGATAAGAATAGGGAAAGGCAAGCAGAAAAGAATATCTTCTGAGAGCAAGCTACACATAAAACACTGGGATGCTGCAAGAGGAGAAGATTATACATAGTCAGCATTCAGCAAAGTATATGAAACACTGAAGGGAAAAAAATGAGATAGGGGAATAAATAGAGGCTGGTCTGAAAATCTAATACTATTATGCAGACAATTCAGATTCTAGTATTAGGCCTCCAAGATTATTTCTTGTTTTTTGTATTAAGAAAACTATGCTAAGGAAGCAATTCTAGGTTCACTGTTGTCCCTCTCTGAATTAACAATACAGGCAGTCCTTGATTTAAGACTAAGTAAAGTGGTTAAAGTAAGTAGCACCCAATTTTATGAACTTTTTGCCATGGTTGTTAAATTATGCAGTTGTTAAGCAAATCTGGCTTCCTCCATTAACTTTGTCAGAATCCAGCTGGGAATGGTGATCACATTACTCCCGGGATGCTACAACTGTTGTAAGTACATGCCATTTGCCAAGTGCCCAAATTTTAATCATGACCATGAGGATGCTGCAACTATCATAAGTGCAAGGACAGGTTGAAAGTCACTGTTTTTAGTGCCATTATAACTTAGAACAATCGCTAAACAAATGGCTGTCAGTCAAGGACCACCTGCAGAAAGGAGATAATATTTTTTGAAAACTTAAAACAGTGCAAACAATCTAATGCTGGATATAAATTTGAACTACAAGTTCCGCAATATTTTGGTAATGAAGCTGATGGGTTAATACAAAATCTCTGAAGAAACTAACTTAACTACTACTGCTCTAGAAAGACATTAACTACTACTGCTCTAGAAAGACATTGTCCAAAGCACTCTTTAGTGAGTTTATGAATTACATATAATCACAATATGCCTTCCAACTCCCATCAGAGTAGTCCTATGCTTGCCAATCTTACTGAGTATAACAGTAGTTATTCTCAGATGGTACTAGAACTACAGTCTATATATATTCTTATATGCCTAGAAATAGGAATTGCCAATGTCCCCAAAGAACCTATCATTGGACTATGTTGGTTTGCATATTCTACTTACTAAACAAAACAGAGCCCCCTGGAGAAAACTAAAATATCCCTCAAATCAGTAACTAATATAGAAGCCATTCTCTGGCAACATACATTTTACAGTTGAGGCCAATAGTACAATATTTGTAAAAAAAATTGCATTTACTACATTACTGTATTAACAATAATACAACATTTAAAATAATTAAAGAGAGAAAGAAAAACAACTTACTTTATTTAGTTTTGAGCAGCAAGATCTGGCATTAATGTAATCACATTCCAAATCTGATAGTGTAATTATCTGATGATCAAGATAAGAACAACTATTATGTCAGCTATACCCCTGCCTCTTCTAAATAAGAATTAAACTATTTGTGCAAATTGTAAATAGCACCATAAGGAGATTTTGTATAAAACTCAGCAAGCAGGCCTCCAGCTTAGGACTTCCAGAAAGAAAGCATTTTGCAAAAGATATAGACAACAGCAGAATCCATACCCCTGCTACCTGTGACTTCATTCAATGCCACCCAAATTCCAAACTGGAATATGCACAATATAGATGTAGCTGTTCACTCATTTCCCAAGCAGCTTGTTTTGTGACTTTAAAATTTGAGTAAGTATGGTAGAACTTCTGCTGGCGCAAAAGCACAGTCACTTACTGATCTGATTCAGACGTTGCCCCTCCCCCATTAAGGCAAGTTTCCCATTATCAATACGAATATTTGAGTTCAAATTCTCCCCCCTTCTTTTCATCATGTATTTATTTTAGTTTATTATAGCCACCCAACTCCAATGGACTCTGAAGAGGGTACAAAACCAATTGCCCTCATAAAAACCGGTGTGGGGTGTGGGGTGGGGGAATCTACCACACAGCCTGGACTAAAACAATCTAAAAATGACACAAATCAAAACACACCCACCCAATACAACACATTAATCCCAGGCCTGGGACCAAAGCCAGATTTTAAGAGCTTTTCAGAACCTTAAGGGAGGATGCCGTCCTCTGAGGGGCTGCTGTTTCAGACAGGGGGGGCTATGATAGAGAAGGTACACTTCCTCAGTCCCCTTAATAGAGTGCACCCACTCTGCTGGGACATATTTTATGGGTAGAAACGATTGAAGATAAGCAGTCCCTCAGATATCCAGGTTCCATGCCATACAGGGGTTGATAGATAACCGTATCTTGAATTGCACTGGGAAGTCAATTGCCAACTGGCTGTGCAGTAAAAAGTTAAAACATTTACTTCAAGATTTAAAGCAGTGGTTCTCAACCTTTTTAATGCCGCGACCCCCAACCGGTCGTAAGTCGAGGACTAAACCGGTCGTAAGTCGAGGACTAAACCGGTCGTAAGTCGAGGACTAAACCGGTCGTAAGTCAAGGACTACCCAACCGGTCGTAAGTCGAGGACTTTCCCTGCCCGGGAGCGCCGCGCATGCGTGGTTCCGCCCCCTGCGCCGGCCGAGGCGTAGCTGGCAAGTGGCAGAGACGGAGCAGGCCGACCACCAGCTGGCCCAGCTCAAGGGAGGTAAGGCACCCGCCGGAAAAGGGGAAAAAAAATGGCGGACAGCCTTGCTTGGCGACCCCCGTGAAATGGTTGATCGACCCCAAATGGGGTCGCGACCCATAGGTTGAGAACCGCTGATTTAAAGTAACCAGAATTTGCTAATGTCTGAATTTGGAGAACCTGAGCTATTTAAAATCTAACAAGCACAATTTGAACCCACTGTTGGATACTCATTGTTCAAAGAAACATTTGTTGAAAGCAAAAAATTCTAAGGTTTAAACTTCAGGGCAAAATGTGGACTGGGCGTTCATAAAAAATGTGACGTAATATGTAGGCTTATCATCCATTTCCATAAGAAATTATGGTTTTCTGATACATAGATATCAGGTCATTAGAATTTTATGTTGAGCAACAGCAGAGATATCCTTTTAAAATTTTGGAACAGGAGCCTAACACAAGCCACCATCAAATATGCTGCCCAAGACCAAAGTCAATTGGTGTAAGACTTATTTAACAGAATAATAGAGCTGGAAGGGACTTTAGAGGTCATCTAGTCCAACCGCCTGATCAAGCAGGAGACTCTACCATTTCAGACAAATGGTTGTCCAGTCTCTTCTTAAAAACCTCCAATGTTGGAGCACCCATAACTTCTGGAAGCAAGTTGTTCCACTAATTAATTGTTCTGTCAGGAAAATTTTCCTTATTACTAAATTACTTCTACTAATATTTCATGTGATCTTGATTCTATCCCTCTGTTAATACATCCTAGAACTGCATTTATAGTATTATAAAAGAATATTATATTATAATATTACAGTATTATATAGTATTTATAGTATTATGCCTCACAGATGAAATGATGCACACATTTTGGCATATCAAATTTTGCTACATGTACAGTATGTTGGTATATATGTAATATATATTTTTTATACAAATGGATAAACCTACCTGCATATTATGCCACATTTTTATGACTGCCCAGTCCACATACTATAAATAACCTTTTGTTGCTCTTTAAAGTTTTACAAAATCCTCTAATTCCCAAATAAACTGTAGCAAAATTTTATTCATGAAATTAAAAAAAATCTGTTGAAGAGCTTCTTTTAGAAAATTTCTAATGACAACATAAAAAAGTTTTATAATTTTCAGGATAATTTAAGTGCTTGGAAAGGTATCTAAAATACATGTTTAAAAACTGTCCCTTCGTATATCCTATATGAAATAACCACCGAAGTGTTTATACAATAGTCAGAATGATAAAAGATCATAATGTACAGATTTAATTCTAAGCACACGCATCTATCAGTACTGTGAAACTTCATCGCAATTCTACATATCTTAATCCATATTAATTAATCTGTCACAATCAGGTCAACAGAGGTCAATTTGGGGAAATATGTTGTTTCAAGTGGAAAACTAAAAAGTATCATTGAATAGAACAGACCCCAAGCAATAAGCTTTACACTCCAAAGAATGCATTACACAATATCACAATAACTGGGGTTTGTGCAAACTTTAAGACGGGAGGGTGTATTACATACACTGGAGATAAGTCTTACATTTAAGCAGGAACCAGGCTTTTTGCCATATCCAAACAGAATGTAACCAGAAAAGTTGAATGGTAGACCAAACAATCTAGTGAACAAATTATCAAAAGAGAATGAAGCACTGTATCTTTCTTCTATAGCCAATCTAAAAAATGTCCTTCTTGTTCATCTTGTCCGCTGCAACCAATGCAGAATACAAGGCTTTCAACCTGCTTCTACAAGACCTCGACAACATGTAATCAACCCACTGCAAAAAATATAGCTAGGGGACGGGGATTTGTAAAAGGCTGGTGCAGTTGTATTTTTGACAAGATATCTAGCTAAGTAAGAAACAGGACACGCCATGCCCAACCTGTGCAGGTTCTGGACATAGGGAAAGCATGCTTTAGAGCAGTGGTTCTCAACCTGTGGGTCGGGACCCCATTTGGGGTCGATTGACCATTTCACGGGGGTCGCCAAGCAAGGCTGTCCGCCATTTTTTTTGTCCGCCATTTTTTTTGTCTGCTATTTTTTTCCCCCTTTTCCGGTGGGTGCCTTACCTCCCTTGGGCTGGGCCAGCTGGTGGTCGGCCTGCTCCGTCTCTGCCGCTTGCCAGCTACGCCTCGGCCGGCGCAGGGGGCGGAACCACACATGCGTGGCGCTCCCGGGCAGGGAAAGTCCTCGACTTACGACCAGTTGGGTAGTCCTCGACTTATGACCGGTTTAGTCCTCGACTTACGACCGGTTGGGGTCGCGACATTAAAAAGGTTGAGAACCACTGCTTTAGAGTCCGTATAGCTCTGAGATAGATCCTGCCTTCCCTTCCCTTGGCCATGCCTTCGATTCCTCTCACTCCCCCCGAGAAGCCCAACCTTTCTTCCAATCGCGCCTCCTAAGGCTCAGCCTCGAAAAGCCGCTTCTCTCTCGCTTTCCCCAACCAACGCTCGTTGCTGCTGGGCCCCGCGCTCTTACGCCGCCGCCGCCGCCGCTGCTACCCCTGCCCCAGCCAGACCGCCATTAACGCCCCCGCCTCAGCCAGTCCCCTCAACTGCAGACCGGAGGAAAGAGCCGAAGAGGCGGTCGCCAGCGCTTTCGGGCTCCCAGCCCCCCCTCGCCCAAACCAATGAAGAGGATACAAAGTAAACAGAAAGGAAAATCAGGGCGCAGCAATCAATGAGCGAAAAAATGAACACCATCGACTCCATCGTGCTGCGGAAATTGCCGCCCTGCCCGTCCTCTCGGCCGCCGTACAGCGCCCCGCCTCTCTAGTCCGTTCGCGGCTGCCGGAGCAGAGCTTCCGCCTCTTCTTTCAAGTTCCTGTGATTTGTCCCTATTATACATTTCTTTGGAAAAGATTGCTTCGCACGGCACGCTGGGACTTGAAGTCCCTCTGTAGGCGTCTAAAGGAGGCGCCCGTTCTCTCGAAACCCACAGAAATTACGGGTAAACTGGACAAGAACATCCGAGAGAACTACAAAACATGGGCTTCTGTGACTTAGACTCTTTTTTTTTAGGCGTCTAAGAAAGTGCCTGTGTAGAAATACGAAGGAATTGCCTGCTGCCTATTTTTCCACCCCTCTGTACTGAAACGTGACCATTTATCTCCTAGATAATCATAGTCCATCGTTTAGTCAGTGAGACGGCCTGAAAAACCTCGCTGCTGCCAGTACATTTAGGCTTTTTAAAGGCAGCCTTAGCTGGGGTCCTACTTTAGTCCGGAAAAACTTTGCCTGCAAGAAAGGAGGAATTTGCACGTGGGAAACTGCGATGCGGAATCGGGGAGGAAATCACCCTTTTGGAGGGGATCCCAGACTGAAACAGCGAGTTAAACAGGTGATTTCGCCGTTCTTGTACCGTTCCTATTTGGCTTTGTCGTGATGAGCAGCCGCCCCTGTATAAGAGGCAGGTTACGGTTGAATCCCATCTTCTTTTCCATAGCGGGCTTAGGACACGAAATGAAGAAGTTTCCTCGTGAGTGTAACCGTTAGTTTAATTTGTACACCGTCCGACTCCCAGTGCTGTTGGCGGTTCACAAAAGAACACGGAAAACTATAAAATAATATAGTTATAAAAAAAAAAAGGGAGGAAGGATGACAAAATCGGGCAGCAACTCAGCCATGCCCTTCCGAGCCAAAGATCTGGGTGAAGAGCCAGGCCTTCAAGGCCCTCCGAAATGCCTGTAGGCGAGACTCCCTCCCCCGGTCATCCCAGAGGGCCAGCACTGCGACAAGGTATACTTCTGGGGTCGCAATACGTGGCATTGTTTAATCGAAAGAACCTGAAGCCAACCCTACTGGAAGGAAGCTTAGAGGAGATAGGAATCCCTCAAGTAAGTGGACCTTTATGGTATGCTCGACTTATAGCCACAATTGAGCCCAAAATTTATGTTAAGTGAGTTTTACCTCATTTTAGACCAGTGGTTCTCAACCTTTTTAATGCCGTGACCCCAACCCCTCAACTAAACCGGTCGTAAGTCGAGGACTACCCAACCGGTCGTAAGTCGAGGACTTTCCCTGCCCGGGAGTGCCGTGCATGCGTGGTTCCACCCCCTGCGCCGGCCGAGGCGTGGCTGGCAAGCGGCAGAGACGGAGCAGGCCGACCACCAGCTGGCCCAGCCCAAGGGAGGTAAGGCACCCGCCGGAAAGGGGAAAACAATGGCAGACAAAAAAAATGGCGGACAGCCTTGCTTGGCGACCCCCGTGAAATGGTCGATCGACCCCAAATGGGGTCCCGACCCATAGGTTGAGAACCACTGTTTTAGACCTTACTTGCCATAGTTGTTAAGTGAATCACTGTTATTAAGGTAGGAACATGGTTGTTAAGCGAATCTGGCATTCCCGTTGACTTTGCTTGTCAGAAAGTTGCAAAAGGTGATCGCATGACTGCAGGACATGGCAACCATCATAAATATAAACCAGTTGCCAAGCAGCTGAATTTGATCACATGACCATAGGGACGCTGCAGTGGTTGTAAGTAAAAAAATGGTCATCATTCACTTTTTTCAGTGCTGTTGTAACTTTGAATGATCACTAAATGGATGGTTATAAATAGAGGAGTGTCTGTATTGAGTTTTATCGATAATGACTAGCACTTTCAATTGTCTTAAAAGCAAACTGACAAGCAGTGCAGCTCACAATGCAAAAATGTTACATGGGCATATCATAGCATCCCCATCAGTGCTTGTGCTGCCGTATTCTGATCAAAGCATTTGTATGGTTTTCAAGGGTAGAGCACTTTGCAGAAGTCAAGTTGCAAGGCGACCAAGCTGTGAATGACTATCTGAAACGTTTCCCAAACTGGGAAGGCTTTTAAAGGGTTTGAATACACCCATGAGAAATAGGTTTATTATGGGTTGTTAATTCTTCCTCAGAGTAGGGTTAACATGCTTCCAAATTCCATTTGTGAGCACTCCATAAGTATTATTCTGGCAACCATGACAAATGAAATGCTGGCTAAGATGGGCGTTGAGTTGATTTGAAAGAGCTGCTCTTATTTGTACATATTAAGTTAAAGGACTGGTTAATGACCAGTTAACAGCAACCCTATCCTCTATTAGTCAAGACTCCTCAAACACTTAGACTAGGTCAAAAATTTGGTGTTTGGCTTCATTATAAATTCTGCTTTATGTAATGCCAACATGGCATCAGTTCCAGGTTTGATATTTTGATAAAGAATATATAAAGCTTTAGCTTTTTGAGGGGAGAAGACAAAGTGTATCATGGAAATATAGCCATAATACGGGTGGTCCTCCTACAATTGGGACTGGCAACTCCTAAGTGACATGGTTATTGAGTGAGACATTATATGACCCTGATGGAGTTACAGTCTCATTTCTGCTACAGTTGTTAAGCAAGATATTATATAACCCTAATTTGCAATTTTACTGCCAGCTTTTCTTTTGACTCGGCTTGTCAAAAGTGAGCCATGGCCAAGGGACCTGTGACAATCATAATCACTTATTGTTTATGAAGCAACCAAATCTCGATCGCATGACCATGGGATATTGCAATGCTCATAATTACTCATTGGTTACAAAGCAACCAAATCTCAATAATGTGACCATAGGGATACGATACTGAGACACTTGTAAAGTTAGTTTTTCAGTGCAATATCTTTGAATGGCCGCTAAACGGGGACAATTAGGTTTTAATCTTGTGGAAGCGCAATCAGTTGTTATTTATTTGACAAATTGGTTTAGCACAATGTATGAGTAATGGATAGTGTTATCTTAATCCCTGACAATGTTATTGTTCTGTGACATATCTTGAGGTAACTAAATTTCAGAAGATTACTTCAGCAAATTGGTTTTTGAATTATTAAAATGTAGAAGGTTGATTACATATTCCATAGTATTGGATTTAGTTTTTTTGCTTCACAAGTAAATTAAGATACTATTCTTGGGGATGTGATTATTGTTTCCACTTGAATTCTTACCCAAGGAAAGGACTAAAATCTTTGACCAGAATCTTTTGACTGGATTCTTACTGTTGTAACTCAATACATGCATCTATTCATTTCATATATAATGCCATTCCTACTATTTTATTTATTTCTGAATAAATTATATTCTTTAGTTCTTGGATCCCACCTCTGACTTTCATCCTACCAAATTTCAGTAATGCCTGCTATGTCACACTTACCTACCTGCGTTAAGTCTTCCAGTTCTTCCTGGTTTTTCCCCCCTATACTCTATTTTACCATCTCCATGTTCTTTTGATGAACAAATAGTAACAAAAGTCACTTTCCTATTAGATCATCTCTAGGAGGTTGATTCCTTATATATACTCCTCTGATGCTATATCCCGACTAGGTCAACAGCAAGCAATGCTCCAGTCAGTTACCATTTAGTAGCATAATGTGCATTCACAACTCTTAGGAAACAGCAGAATCATTCAGTTAGCAGTCTCCTCTACCTTGATTCTTCCATTCTGTTCTTCCTACTCTTCCTTTGTTCACTTGCTTGTCCTGCCAAATTCCACTAGTTTGCTCACTCAGAGAGCTCAGTAATTTGAAAAGAAAGAAAAATCAGTATGGCCATCCTTCACTAGATTTATTTACAATTAAATATTCTGGTTTGCCTTTGAAAACTCATAAAGGAACATTTGAAGAAAATGCTGTTGGTTATTCTTGAATACCGTTGCATGCAAAAGTTGTCTGTGGCAATTTGATATTATTTGCTTAATTTAATTCTCACAATGTTGCAAAATTAATATACACTTAATAGTCCATTATCTGGACAAAAACTTGATCTTGCAATCAAAAGCTGCTAAATGGGGATCTGGTAAATTAAGATTCTACTTTAATCTCTTTGCTTTTAAAAACCAGTGTAGATACTTGCAGTGCTGCATCTATTTTAAATTGTTCACATATGATTTTATGCTAATATTATTTTTCATATTGTAAAGAATTGTATGTATCTTTAAATATGCTAACTTAGTTATATTTATTACAGTATCTAAACAGTAATAAATGTGGCCAGTACGTTAACACTGAAATTCTAGCAGCAGAACTACGGAAAATATATAGGTGAGTAGTAAGAGATTTAATACTTTACATTTTCTATGAAAGGGGCAGTGGAGTAGTGCATGTATAATAATAAATGGCATAATAATTAAACTTGTAAAGGGCTTAATGATCTTCTCTATTTCTTACATTGTGTACTGCAAGAATGAAATCAATACAGATATACAAACATAAGTGATAAGAATAAGTATACAAAGCACATAAAGAATCAATAGCAAGCAAAACAAATTAGAAGCATGAAAGAAGAGAAAGGGAAATACAACAAAAACCCTAGCCCTAATTATTTACTACATCTCTCTATATCTTTAAAACCATTCTTGCTATACCATGTTTATATATTAATTCTTGCATTGTCTTTTGTTCTTTACGTCCTTCTTTCAGCATAGGATTAATGTTAGGATTAGTCTAATCTCTTCAAGCAGAAGCTGCAGATGACCAAACCTGGATAATTTACACAGTATAATATAATATTTATTCTAATATGTATTTGAATGTATTTATTGGTCTTTTTTTTTTACTCTGACATTGGTAATTATGCATTAGGGTACTTTTCCTTATGATGCTTGCATTAGGCTTCTACATTGAAAATGAGGTATACAAAGAAATATTCACTGTGGCTTTTAAAATTGATTTTCAGTGCTGATTATGGACGAAGAAAAAGAAATGCCTTTAGAATACAGGTTGAGAAAGGTATGTTTGTTAATATTGTATTTGAAGTGAAATTAGGCCATACAAGCTAGCTTATGTAA